TTTCATTTATCATAAATAAAAGAAAAATTTTAAAAATTTAAAAAAAAAATATTCCCTACAATCTTTTTTAAAAGAAAAATATTTCACTTTCCTAAATTTATTAAATAATTAATAAAAAAGATATTAGAAAAAATGTCGGTAATATTATATTATATAAAATGACTTATAATTTAAAATAATTTTATTTAGTAAAATAACTTATAATTTAAAATAGATTGAATAATTAATCGATGAGTTTATAGATGTTAGATTTAAGTTAACCGATTGAATTTATGATAAAATTTATATGTATTTGATATATTGAGAAATGTTAAATTTAACATTTTGTTAACTAATTTTTTTATTGAAATATTCGAAGAGTGTATCTAAGAAGAGTGTATCTAAGAAAGTACGAGTATATAAGATGATAAAACTTTTTAAAAATTTTAATCAAATGTTTAAGGTAAAATCTCTTGGAAAAGAAGTTTTATGTTGCATCGTGCAACCTAAGAAATTAATCTTTATTTGAAATATTTGAAGAGTGTATCTAACAAATGCATTGTTAATGTAAGAGTATTTAAGATGATAAAATCCTTTAAAACTTAATCAAATGTTTAAAGGTAAAATCTCTTGGAAAAGAAGTTTTATGTTGCATTATGCAAGAAATTAATCTTTATTTGCGGAAGAAAGGGAGAAATTAATCTCTCTAATTGCAAAGGCTTTATTAGTTTCAACATTTTTTTGTAAGGTATAAAATTCTTATAAAACAAATAAGGTTCAATTTCATAAAAATAACATAATACTTTTTTAAAAGTTCTTGATTTATAAATTTTTATAATTTATTTATTTTAATGTATAAATATAAATGAATGATACAATTAGAAATTAAATTATATATTAATATAATTGTTTATTTTTTTTGAATAATTTTTATCAAAAAAAAATTAATCATCCGAATCATAAAGACCACAATGAACAATAAACACCTTAAAAAAATTAACATTGTTACATGGAGGTTTAAATTAGAATCCCTATTTTTAATTAAAGTTGAATAAAATCTCTTATCATTTCATGTCAGAGCTCTTAGGTATGGTGGTTATAATTAAATTAATTGTTTAAAATTTGTAATATTTAATAAATTTGTAGTTAGATGAATTTATACTCATAAAAAACATAAAACATATATTAAATTAAAATTTAACTTTTATTAATATAAAAAAGATGAATTAGAGAGAAATAAAAATATTTAAACTAGTATATAAAAAATATATAAATTAATTAAAAAATACTAAAATTTATAATAAATAACTAAATTTTTTTAAATTCATTAAATAATTGATAATATAAACAATATATAGACTATATTCGTAAATTATTTAATGTATCTAGTCACCTAGTGTAAATATTAAAATTACCTTATTTTAAATTTGTAAGGTAGGTCATGATTTTTGTTTGATGATTAATTGAACATGACCGCATGTTACTTGTGTTGCTCCACACAACCAGTACAATAATGTGTAGGCCATGATGCCCTTAAGTCTTTACCCTTTGGTTACCTCACCTTATCTTCACTTCATATCTTCTTTCTATTGGTTACGCTCTATCTTTATGATATGCCTCTAATGTGGGTCACAAATTACATTATTTATGTCTAACTAATATATATATATATATATATATATATATATATATATATATATATATATATATATATATATATATATATATATATATATATATATATATATATATATATATATATATATATATATATATATATATATATATATATATATATATATATATATATATATATATATATATATATATATATATATATATATATATATATATATATATATATATATATATATATATATATATATATATATATATATATGGCCTGATTCTTCTATAATTTATCAATAAAATAATCACAATTACTATTGCGTCTACTGCTATGATTGGTCATACTTTCAGACCAGTTTTTCAAACTCCAGTTTTCGCCAAGCCCAGACCTGTGGTTCACACTGTTTCCTAGACTGTTCAGGCTCCTTTCTTTGAGTATAAGGTGAAAACTGAAAAGACTTTGTTGAACCTGAGGTTGTCCGTGAACAATTTCAGACCATAGACAAGAGACTTCGAGCCATTGAGGTTACTGACTTCTTTAGTGTGGATGCAGACAACATGTGCTTAGTTTATAACCTTGTTATGTACGCTAAATTCAAAACTCCTGAGCTTGTGAAGTACAAGGGCCACTCATGTCCAAGAACATATTTGGTTATGTACTTCCGAATGATGGATGCTTATATCAATAACTAGAAGTTTCTCATCCATTATTTTCAAGACAGCTTGAGTGGAGCTTCACTCAAATGATACACGAGTCTTGAACAAAAACCCATTCACTGCTTTCAAGATCATGCAAATGCTTTCATGAAGAAATATAAGTACAATCTTGACATGCCTCCTGCCCGCCGTCAACTTCAGAACATGACTAACAATGAGAAAAAAATCTTTTAAGGAGTATGCTCAGTGGTGGAGAGAATTAGATTCTAAACTTGAACCCCCTCTAGCAAAAAATGAGCTCACTAGAATGTTCATGGGCACCATGTCTCCATTTTATTGGGAGAAGATGATTGACAGTGTTTACTTCAACTTCACTGATTTGGTAACTATTAGCCAAAGGCTGGAAGAAGGTCTCAAGAATGGAAAGATATCTAAGGCTACTGAATCTTCTAATGGTGCGAAGAAGTCCTCTGGGAATTTCTAGAAGAAGAGGGAAGATCAGACTAATGATGTCATGTTTGAAACAAGAAGGCTTCGTCCCCGACCTCAATATGCTGATCACCCTGTTGTTACTGTTGTTACTTCTGTGGTTGTTGTTCCACGACCTGTTCAAGCTCCTCAATGTCCCGTTGTAGGACAAAACTAGTACCGTAATAGGAATCAATTTGATCATGTTCCCATGACGTACACTGAATTTTATCCTGGTCTGGTTCAGCAAGGCTTGATTACCACGAGGACTCTGCCTCCTCCTCCAAATCCTCTTCCTGGATTCAGATCTGATCTCCACTATGCATTTCATGAAGGCACCGCAGGCCACGACGTGGAAAATTTCTATGCTTTGAAATCCAGAGTGCATGATCTGATTAAGGTCGGAATCCTTAGCTTTCAAGACTTTAATCCTAAATACAATAACAGTCCCTTGCCAGCGCATCAGAAGTGAAGATTCAATCGACTTCAGCAGACTATCTTCCTAAAAGCCAATGTTTTAGACAGGACAACTCATCCTTATTACTGATTAGTCACTAGACCATGTTTCTTGTTGTTTGTACTTTCCTTTATTTGTGTCAGCCGTTTGATTTCAAATTATGTTTGTACTTTCGTATTAGTGAAATGATCATTGTAACTTTTTGATTCAATTCGTTTTGTCTATTACTTGCATCTTTATGCTTTCTTTTTCAAAAAATATTTATACCTCTTGTTCAAACTTTTGATATGCAAAGATTAGAGGGAGGATAGTAAAAGCGTATTACTTGTAATTACTGTTGGTATGCTTTCAATCAAACTTTGTTGACAATTTAAGGCATTGTTTCAACTTGCACATTAATATTCTTTTGATTGAAGCCATACAACAAACGCCAAACTAGTTCAAATTCATGAAAGACGTGCTCACCAAAAGAAAGAGAGCAGGTGAATTTGCTATTGTTGCTTTGACACGAGAATGTAGTCAGCTTGTGCAAGGAACACTACCACAAAAGTTGAAGGATCCTTGCAGTTTTATAATTCCATGCAACATTGGAGAGTCTTTCTGTGACAGAGCTCTGTGCGACCTTGGTGCAAGTATAAATTGATGCCCTTATCTATCTTTAAGAAGCTGAGTATAGGTGTTGCTCGACCAACAACCATTACACTTTAGTTGGCTGACAAGAGCATCTGATATCCATAAGAAAAAGTTGAAGATGTACTAGTGAGGGTTAATAAGTTTGTGTTTCCCGCTGACTTCATCATTATGAACATCAACGCTGATGAGGATACTCATATCCTGTTAGGAATACCATTCATTGCCATTGGAAGAACATTACGTGATGTGGAGAAAGGAGAGCTAACGATGTGAGTTAATATACAACAAGTTGTGTTCAAATTATTGAATGTTTTGCAATACTCCGAGGAGGATGTGACTGAATGTTCAATGATCTCCAGTTGGGAGACCATTATTCACAAGAGTCTCCTCAAATCAACTGATGTTTTAGAGCAAGAATTAGAAAGATTAGAGGAAAAGAAGCATATGAAGGAATGAATCATAACTAGACCTTTGTGCAAGTCAGTAGATGAAGAAGAACTATTGAAATTATTGTAGCTGACTGAAGAGTTGAGAGATCAATGCAAGCCGTCCATAGAAGTTCCAACAAAACTAGAGCTCAAACAATTACCTCTTCACTTGTAATATGCATACTTAGAGGCAGGATAAAAGTTGTCTGTCATCACAACTATATACATATTATCTGAAAAACAGAAGCGTTAACTCCTAACACTTCTCAAAAAACACGAAAGAACTATTGTCTGACAAGTGTTTGAAATCAAGAAGATCAGCCGTATACAAAGAATTCTAATCCAAAGATTCAAATTAATATAAATTTAAGTTTTTGCTTTTTAATTTAAATACAAATTTATACATGAATTATTAATTTATAATCAAAAGGCAATCAATGTTCCAAATGCGTGAATATGTAAAAAAGACAGGATGGAATCATCATCCGGCAAACTTCACTCACTCGTTAGTCATTACTCAACAATAGTTTATTTAGACATCACAATTACTGTGAGTCAACACCGGCGGTTAAACAGAAAAGACAAATCAAACGCGTCATTTGATTCAAGTCCCCCCCCCCCCCCCCCCCCCCCACCCCCCCCCCCCCCCCCCCCCACCCCACCCACCCACCCACACACACAGAAATATAAGGAAAAAAAACTTTCTATTTTCTTCCTATTTCTCCATTTCAATTTGAGCTTCCACATACATGGTTGAGCAAATTTCACTTCTGTTCTTCTTGACACTTCAACTATCAGTAACCGGTATAATTAATTATTATAGGAATTAAATTTATCATAATCTTCATTTATGAAAAATTAATTAACTATTAAATTTCTTTGGCAGTTGTAATTTCAGCGGAATTAACTATAGTTAACCAATGCAATTACACAGTGTGGCCAGCTTCATCAACTACCAGCGGAAACGCAACACCCACCGGATTCATTTTAAATCCCGGCGAGAATTCAACAATCACAACATCCGATAAATGGACCGGCCGTGTATGGGGCCGGACTCTCTGCACAACAGATTCCACTACCGGAAACTTCTCCTGTGGCACCGGCGATTGCGGCTCAGGAAAGATTGCATGTGACAAAAGCGGATCAGTGCCTTTGACGCTGGCGGAGTTCGGTTTGAACAGTTCCAACAATCAAGATTTTTACGATGTCAGCTTAGTTGACGGTTATAACGTTCCAATGAATATTGTTCCGTTAAGTAGTTCAGGAAAGTGTAACACCACGGGTTGTCCTACCGATCTCAACGCGGTGTGTCCGACGGAATTGAAGGTAATGAAAAATGAAAAACTCGTGGCGTGTCAGGGTCCTTGTGCTGCTTTTAATTTGCAGTTTTTCTGTTGCGTTGGGGATCATTCAACTCCAAAGACCTGTGAGCCGAGTGTGTATGCTCAGATATTCAAGACGGTGTGCCCTGCAGCCTATAGCTATCCGTATGACGATTCCACCAGCACGTTCTCATGTCCGGCGACTGATTACCACGTCGTCTTTTGTCCCACCTCCACAAGCAGCAGGTAAGATAACACTTTTAAGATTAATTCAAAAGTAGCAAATAATTGTTAAGTTAACTGCTAAACAATCTTGTGTTTGGTTTGTCCGACTTTAAATAAGTCTCTGGCCAGTGGACAGTGAAATTGATCCCTTATTAGTCGGTCTCATATCAGATATCAAACTTTCCAAAAAAAAATGATAAGTTAGATGATATCTATGTCCTTAAATATAAGACTTAGTTGACTAAATTATAAGAATTAAGAAGATTATTAGTATTAACTTTAATAGCATTTGATATAGTTTTTAAATTTACCATTTAGTAACTAATATATAGTTTATGTAATTTTATATAGCTTAGATTTAGTAGATCAAGGTGGCAGTGTGAGTCTTGGTGAGTCACTTATTGCTGGTAGCGGAACAACTCGATGGCTCTCTTCTTCTGGAGATTTTGCATTTGGGTTTTACCAACTTCCTGATGAGCTTTTCTTACTAGCTATATGGTATGACAAAATACAAACTGATACAATCATTTGGTATGCAAATGGAGACAATCCAGCTGCTAAGGGATCAAGATTGGTATTAAATGATTCTAGTGGTTTGGTGCTTACCAACCCTCAAGGTTTAGAGCTATGGAGATCATATTTCACATCCGGTACAGTTTCTAAAGGTGTAATGAATGATGATGGAAACTTTCAATTGCAAGACAAAAACTCTGTGGCAATATGGGATAGTTTTAGTCATCCTACTGACACATTTGTGCCTAATCAAGTAATGGAGTTAAATGGAAATCTTTCTTCACGACAAGGAGCGTTCAACTTCTCACGAGGAAGGTTCAAACTTCATTTACAAGAGGATGGGAATCTTGTGCTTAACCTTATAAATTTTCCGAGCAACTACAGTTATGATCCTTACTACAGTTCTGGTTCCAACGGTGATGTTAAGAATCAAACAGATGTTGGACAACGTTTGATATTTGACAAATCAGGTTTCTTATACATAGAGAAAAAAAGTGGAGATAATATTTCTATCAGCAATCAGAATGGGACATTCTCAACTGATAACTTCTACTACAAGGCAACAATTAATTATGATGGAGTTTTCACCATAGCATTTTACCCTAAAGATCCAAAAAGAGGGCAGAGTTGGCTCATTGCGAAGACGATACCAGAAAACATATGCTTGTATTCTACATTCACATTTGGTGAATATGTATGTGGGTTTAATAGCATTTGCACCCTTACAAATGACCAAAGGCCAAATTGTACCTGCCCAGACGGATATTCTCTAATTGATTCAAACAGCATGTATGCTGGCTGCATACCAAATTTTCAAGTCATTTGTCAAGCAGGTGGGAACTTGGGTTTGCAAAATGATATGTATACAATGAAGGAATTGCCAAATACAGATTGGCCGCAATCTGATTATGAAAAAATAAGTCCATCTAGTTTGCAAGAATGTAAGGAATTGTGTTTGCAAGATTGCTTATGTGTTTTGGTTTCTTTCAGCCAAAGTTCTTGCTGGAAGAAGAAGCTCCCACTATCTTATGGAAGAAAAGATCAGGTAGTAAAAGCAGTTTCTGTCATGAAATTGATGAAAAATGATCCTTTTTCTTCCTTGACAAATCAGAAGAAAGATCACAAAACTTTGATTATTGTGATTTCAGTTCTTTTAGGAAGCTCCGTGTTTGTCATTTTGATATTACTTGGGTCCATGTTTTTTGGGTTTCCTTACAACCGCAAGAAGATCAAAAGTTGTAGAACCAACAAAAATGTTGTTGACAGTAACTTGCGACATTTTAGCTTTAAGGAAATCGTTGAAGCAACAAGTAACTTTAGAGATGAACTTGGAAGAGGTTCTTGTAGCATTGTGTACAAAGGAACAATAGAGATGATGGTCAATGTAGCAGTTAAGAAACTTGATAAGTTGCTTCAAGATAGTGATAAGGAATTCCAGACTGAAATGAGTGTGATAGGACAAACTCATCACAGAAACCTTGTTCGTCTTCTTGGATATTGCAATGAGGGACAACATCGGATTTTGATATACGAGTTAATGAGCAATGGAACTTTAGCAAGCTTCCTTTTCACCTCTTTAAAACCAAATTGGAACCAACGATTCCAAATTGTTCTTGGAATTGCTAGAGGTCTTGTTTACTTGCATGAGGGATGTTGCACTCAAATCATCCATTGTGATATTAAACCGCAAAATATACTTCTGGATGATCAATACAATGCTAGGATTTCAGATTTTGGATTAGCAAAACTATTGCTGATTAACCAAAGCCACACCGAAACTGGAATTAGAGGAACCAAAGGGTATGTTGCGCCGGATTGGTTTATGAGTGCACCAATCACTGCAAAAGTTGATACTTACAGTTTTGGTGTATTGTTGTTAGAGATCATTTGTTGTAGGAAAAATGTAGAGAAGGAATTTTTTACTGAAGAAAAAGGGATTTTGACTGATTGGGCTTATGATTGCTACAAGACTAAAAGACTTGACAATCTTCTGGAAAAAGATAATGACGTAGGCAATGGCATAATGAGTTTGGAAAAGTTAGTCATGATTGCTATTTGGTGTATTCAAGAAGATCCTTCTCTTAGACCAACAATGAAAGAGGTTTTACTGATGTTAGAGGGAATTGTTGAAGTTGTGGCTCCCCCAAGTCCCTATTTCTATGGTTCTGTAAGTTGTAGTTAAAATTTATTTCCTTTGATTGGGATTTTAGCATTGCCTACTGTATTATTTTCCTAATGGAATTGAACATTTAGCTTTTATTTATATTGATTATTCATATCATAGAAATTTAATTGGTTGTATTTATAAAGTTATGTTTTTCTTTTCCTTTTACACTTGGGAAATAAAGTGTCTATTGATTCAGACAGATATTACAGGGTGAAATGGTCAAAGCAACATAATATCTATATAGAAAGTTAGTAAATATTAAGCGCATGATTTTTCTTGTACGAAATGTTATGGTTCATTGATTAGAAGCATTATGTTTCACATATCTTCTGAGTTTCAATTAGTCTGGTTAGTAAATTTGAGTTTTTCTTTGAAAATTTAACATTACAACGCTTCTCAAGATTTTCTAAAACCTTCGTACAATGACATTTTCATAGGTTAAGGCACCTGTGTTTATTAGTCGAAAAGAAGCTGCAGCAGTTCCAAACAAGTTGCTGCAACCAGTTTTGCGATCGTTAATTACTTACATTCAAATGTTAAGAATGGAAGATAATTCAAGTTAGTTCAACATGTTGCAGTTTTATATTAATAGGTCGTACCTTTTTATAAAATGTCAAACAGAAGGAAAGTGTAACCAATTGCACTATTTGTGTTATCGGTTACACCTTAAGTCTTTTTAGTTAAAATTGAAACAGAAGCAAAGTGCAACCGATTATACTAATAGCGCAACCGGTTATACTTGGAAATTTTCAATTTTATTTGTTAGTTAATTGTATCTCTTCTCTTGTATTGTTGTATAAAATACCTTTGTAGTATCTTATAAGAAAATTAATAAGAAAATCACTATACTTTTCACCCTCAATTACTCTCTCCCTCCCCTTCTCTACACTCAATTACTCAATTATTTTTTTCACCAACCTTATCGTTCAAAGTTCTAACATTTGACATCAAGAGTCTGGTTCAATCCATCAAACACCTTGTGTGCAATCATGAATTTAGTCTCCAATGAAAGAATCCATGCAAATTTACTCGTCCTTGATGCGAAGAATTGTGACAAATGGTGCAAGCAAATGTAGGTGTTGTTTGAATACCAAGATGTTCTGAGAGTGATAAAAGACGAAGTGAATCCTCTTGTCGAAGGTGCAAGGAATGCACAAAAAGCAACATATAAGGAAGAAAAGAAGTTGTTTTTGATCCATCAATGTGCGGATACAGACAACTTTGAGAATGTTGGTGATTGTGAATCATCGAAGAAAACGTGAAAAACCTTGGAGAAAGCATATGCAAGGGCTGACAAGGTGAAAGTGGAGAGGTTACAAAACCACAAATGTTAGCTTGAATTGATTTAAATGGAGGAGAGAGAGACCATCAACATTTTACGGCGAGAATTACTCAGTTTGTTAACCAAGTAAAAGCATGTGGAGAAATGATCACAAAGTAGTATGTTGTCACAAAAATCTTACATTCTTTGACGACAAAATTCGATAACATAGTCGCAGCGATTGAAGAATCGATGGATCTTACGACAATGAGCAAAGAGGAATTTGTCGCACCTTAAAAAATCGATAATACGACCCTCGCGCAAAAGGCGCGGAAGAAATTGGTTCGACAGAGTCGCCACCGAACTTTATTTATTCCAAAGAGTGAAAGGAAAATATCGAGAAAACCTTTAATGATATAAGAACATGGTCATCACAACCACATTCTGGGTTCGGGAGTCGGTTATGTGAGAGGAATGTATTAGCACCCCCTCACGTCCGTTGTACTCAACATGTACCTCTTAGTTCGATTTGTGATGAATGTTAGCTAATGTTATTTGTTTTCTTTTAAACGAGATGATGCGAAAAGGTAAAGGAAAAGAGATCAATTACTAAGGGAAATGAGTGGTTTTAAATGAGAGTGCTCGGCAAGGATTGGAACCCTTGTGCCTACGTATGCTCATTTGGATGAGAATGAGGAATCAGAGCGCTCGTAGTTCGACTAACGGGAGGTTTGGATAAGAAAAGGTAGGAGACTGTGGAAAAGGAAAAAAGTAGCAAATAAAAAGAAAAAAGGTAGCTCTTCAAGATCATCGCAATCTTGTGCCTACGTATCTTCATTCATACAAGAATGAAGAATCAGAGCGCTCATAGTTTGTGGAACTACAACTTGTTGGTTTAATTTAGAGGTGACAATTGTTTACACACGAGTAGAGAACTCGCACCCAAACAATTGAGAAAAAAGATAGAAAACTCCATCTCCCTCCATTTCACCTTGAAAAGAGATTGCGTTTGAATATTTGTTAAGTGTGTTTGATGAAAGACGAGTGTTTGCAAAAATGGTTTGAATGTTATCGAGTTAGAAGATTTTTAGAGGTGTAAATTTCTCACACACGAGTAAGAGAACTTGCACCCAAACAATTGAAGAAAAGGATCGAAGACTCCATCTCCCTCTCTTTCACCTTGAAAAGAGTTTCGATAGTTTTTATGTGTTTTGAAGTTTGATTGCAAAAATTCACTTGATTTTAGATCAAGGGTTTGATTGAATTGGAGAAGAAGTTGATTGCGAGTCAAAAGGCACTCGACTTAAAAGTTTTAAAATGACACTTGACGTTGAATCAAGGGTTTGCGAAAAAGGTGCAAATCGATCCTAGTCCCCAGGGGTGCTCCTAGTAACGAAACCACGTCAAGAAGGTGCAAGTGTGTGCATTAGGTTGATGGCGAATGCTAAGAAGCAAACGACTTACAAGGTGTTTTGAAAAGTGGCTTGACAACAAATCGAGAATTAGTTTAAAAATGGTTTAGTCTATGCTAGTCCCTAGGGGTGCTCCTAGTAAACAAACCACAATAAAAAGTGAGTAAAGTGCATACATGGAAAAGGGAGAGGGGTACATGTAAAGTACACGGGATTGCGAGAAATAAAGGGTATCATTGTAAGGTAGACCAAGAGGAAACCGTGTGGGTGCGAAGTTTCCTAAACAATATAATGTACCAATTGAAGCAACTTTGACTTCCTTAAGGGAGGGTGTCTCTTGAAAGATACTCTAGTCTGTTTACCAGCCATGCAATGAGAACATTTTCCAAATCTACATTCTTTAATCCATGAAAAACATCCTTTTTGGCTAAAATATTCAACCCTCTTTCACTAATATGACTAAGTCTTCGGTGCCACAAAGATGCTTCCATATCGATAGCATTCACACTGTACCTAGTAACCAAAGCTTTTGTCCAATAAAATTTAGAAATATTTTACCCTTTAGCCACAACCAAGTTACCTTTGTTGATTTTCCACGTTCCACAATCATCTAGCATATGCACATAAATCAAATTAAAACGGACATCTAAATCATGTTTGACACCTCTAAGTAATAATTGCATTCACATGTTGGTTTGCAAGCAAACATCACCAAAACCAATTACCTTAGATACACCATCAATACCGATCTTCAACACTCTAAAATGACCTGAAGTATAAGATGTGAAGAAATCCTTCCTTGGTGTAACATGCAATGTAGCACCACTGTCAACTATCCACACGCTCTCGTCTGATACAAGATTAACAGACTCATGATCACGGAGAATAACAAGATCATCACTAGTAGCGGTAGTAACACAATTATCATCATAATTTTCATGGTCTCTTTGTTTACACTTACTCTTCTTACCTTTGTTATCTCTTTTCCACTTATAGCAATGTGTATGTGTCCTATTTTGTGACAATAATGACACTCCAGATTCTTGTATCGCAACTTGGACTTGCTTTTTCCATTCTCTCTACCACCCTTCAGTTCCTCTTTATGACTTCTCCCTCTATTTTTAGTGACAAGCACCTCGGGTTGAGATGAAGAACCCTGTGCCTTCCTTCTAATCTCCTCATTAAGAATATAAATCTTAGCCGTTTCCAAAGAAACAACACATCTAGAAGCAGAACTTAGTGATAGAAACCTGAAATGTCTCCCAAGACTCTGGTAAAGATAGCAATAGAAATAGTCCAAAAGTTCATCATCAAATTTGATACTCATTCCTGGCATCTGATCAATGAGGCCTTGAAATTCACTCAAGTGATCTAAAATAGAAGTCCCCTCCTTATACTTTAAACTTATGAAGCTATTCAAAAAGAACAATTTATTATTCTCTGATTTAGAGGCATACAAGGACTCTATCTTCTCCCACAAAGTTTTTGCATGTGTCTCATTAGCAATGTGATTATAAATATTATCTTCTACATATTGCTGAATAAAACCACATACCTGTTGATGTTCAAACTCCCATTCTTCATTAGACACATAATCTGGCTTTGCTGAACAAAACACCAGCAAATGCAATTTCTTCACAAATCGTAAGTATTTCATCATGTCCTTCCATAAATGATAATTAGAAACATTCAACAATAACATCTTCGTCTTTGTATTTGACTTCATCATTCAAACAAGTAAAATAGCCCTTAACCAAGAGCTTTGATGCCACTTTGATGAGAAATTAAGCCAATAGACTAATGCGCAGCGGATATAAAACTCCCCAAACTTGTAGGAACCTTGAGGATCAACAACAAATATAAGACGGAAAATTGAACAAATAAAGGCAGAAAAGAACACTGGTATTTTTAATATGGAAAATTCCTCAATATGAGAGTAAAAACCACGAGTCGTTCAGACCAAAGAAATAATTTCACTATAATCAATTAAGGGTACAAAAGAGTCTTAAAGTGATTCACAAAATAGTGCTAACAACTGCAATTCACAAAGCAAACTAGTTTACAAATAAGAATAAAAAAGCTGAAAATTTTTCCCAATTTGCAGCTTCAGTGCGAAACAAATAACTTTCACCTTAGACGTTGTTTTGAAATTCTGAACAGTTAAAAGTTAGATGTATGTGTTACAAACCTGTCCTCCAAATTCGAGTTTGATCCAACGATTAACGAATCAGGGATCGTCGATTTAGTGATACTGGTTGCAGAAAAACGACAATGAGTTTCTCTCCTCTTTTATCTCTTTTGAGTTCTTAATTTTCCTCTATCTCTCTTAACCCTAAATTGAT